GAGTCCTTTCAAGAGGATGAAGAAACAATCTCCACATTGATGCAAAATAATGCTTATTTGGAACAGTTACTCAATCCCTCTCAATCAGCCCATCGAGGCTCTATCCTAGGTCATCGAGTAATTAATTGTGATCGTGAAAGTTCAAATCGTAATTTATATAATGATTATTTTTCAAATAATCCTTTTATATAATGAACAAATGTTTCGGAGACGATTTCGAATGTCTCGAAGTCTATTTCTTCATATTGTTGATGCAGTTAAAGATCATGATTTGTATTTTCAACAACGGAGAGATGGTCTTGGTAGACTTGGCTTGTCAACCTTACAAAAAGTAACTGTTGTTTTTGGGGTGTTAGCATATGGTGTACCTGCAAATTCAACTGATGAGTACATTAAAATTGATGAATCAACAACAATTGAAAGTGTTAAGAGATTTTGTTGTGCCGTCGTTGAGATTATTTCAACTGAATATCTTCGACATCCTAATGCTAATGATATTGCAAGGTTGCTTCATATTGGAGAATCTCGTGGTTTTTCAAGTATGTTGGACAGTTTAGATTGTATGCATTGAAAATGAAAAAATTGTCCTACGGCTTTCGCAGGTCAATAGGCAGATCGTAGTGGATCACCGACTATTATTCTCGAAGCTGTGGCTGATTATGATCTTTGGATATGACATGCATATTTTGGTATGTCAGGTGCCAATAATGACATTAATGTTTTAGAATCCTAACACTTGTTTTCAAATCTTGCTCTAAGTATTTGCTCCTCCTGCACATTATATCCTTCAAGGGAAATAATACAATATGAGGTATTATCTAGCTGATGGTATTTATCCTAAATGGGCTACTCTTGTGCAAACTATTCGTGATTCACGAGATCCAAAAAAAAGACTTTTTGTACAAAAACAAAAGTCTTGTAGAAAATATGTTTAGCGTGCTTTCGGAGTTCTACAATCACGTTAGCATATAATTGTTGGAGCTGTTCGATTTTGGCAAAAAAATATTCTACATGATATTATAACTGTTTGCATTATTATGTATAATATGATAATAGAAAATGAATGAGATATCAGTGCACCTATTAGAGAAGTTTAGAAACACCACACCTATCCGTGGAAAGGGCAACCGATTAAACCATCCAACTTCAACAATTTCTTTCCCGACATAAACAAATTAGAGACAAACATGCTCATTTTGCACTCCGTAATGATTTAATAGCGCATATATGAGAGCAATATAATAACTCCACTGAATAAGTATGTCGTATTTTATTTGAACTATTGTTGTACTGTATGTTTTTGTAATAAATTGTTATGAAATAATAATATTACGTTATCTTTGTTTAATTATTATATCATATTTGTCTTAATAGCATTTAATTATTTATTTAAAATTATTTTATTTGTAATAGTTTAGTTATAAATGTTAATTTTTATATATGTAATTTTTAAATAAAATATAAATTATATGTGCATGAATCTAATGTAAAAATAAATTAAAGTTGGAGTATAATTTATAAATATGAAAAATTATATAAAATAATATAAAAGAGGAATATACTTAATTAGAGGAGGAATTAGAATTTCAAACCCAAGCCCAATGTCTTATTTTGATATTTATTATAATTGAGTTGGATCAAGTCCAAACAACTCTAGCCCATTCATGGCCAAAATCCAATTTCTCATTGATCCATTTACATAAGCTTGTTAACAAGTTATTTTGTGTTTTCAACGTAGGACAAAGACCATTCAACACAAACTAACGTGTGTCTTTTTAATCAAATTTTTTTAAATTTTATTATTTGAATTCTATATTTTTCAAAAAAATACATTTTTTCTTCTTTTAAAATATTTATCAAATATTATTTTAATATAAATTCAAATTAATTTTTTCCAAATCCAAAAAACTCACCATTAATACACACAAACACAAACATCCTTTACCTCTTCCACCCCGCAATCCTACCCCAAATACCTGTTTCTCTTCCACCCCACCCCACCCCTTCTTCCCTCTTTGCCACTCCTCGCCGCCGCTCCTCCACCCCTTAAAAATCCTCCCCCGGCAACCAATTGCCGTTACCACCTTCCCAAACTCCACAAATCCTTTACTTTCGCACTTAATGTGCGGATTCTCTGCCACCGTTGCCTTCATTCTCCCCCAACACCAACACCAACCTCAATTTCCTCAAATTCGTTCAATATTAAAAATTTAAAGAGATAGGTTTAGTCAGTACCTTCATTAGCTACATGGGAATTGTATGATTATTGCTAATCAAATTTCATTTTGCATTCTCTATTTCTCTCTCTACATATATATCTAAAGATAATACCATTATATATCGTCGAAATAAATTATAGGCAACAAGCGGCGGGGGAAGAGGATCTGTTCGGAATCGTAGGCGTGACTTCTTTACAAATTTTGTTTTCCGAATCCAGAGCTTGCCGCGCTTTCCTTTCCTCTCCTCCATTAATTCCGCCGCAAGCTTCTTATCAAACCTTCGATTCCAAACAGATCTTCCTCCCCGCAATTTCTAAATTGTTTTTAAGCTCTAGAATATGTGCCCTAGCCTTGTTCGATTCTGAAAACATATATGGTTGTTTGATGAAACCCACGTCCCAGAACGACGCCGCTAGCTTCTCGCGGATGTGGTGGAATTTCCAGTCGGTGGCGCCATCGCGGGCTTGCAACGGCGGCTTTTGGTTGGATATGGTATTCTCGTGTATAAAGGGTGTGTTTGTTTGGGGGGTTTGGATTTTGGATTGGGATTTGAATAGTAAAAATTTTGAATTTGAATAGTTGTATGATGTGATATAAATAGGGTTTGATGTGATGTTTTGAATGTAAAATTGATTTTTAGTATAATATAAAAAATGAAAAATAGGTGTTTGATTTGATGTTTTTGGGGGGAAAAAATTGGATGAATAGTAGAAATCCTCCAAAATCCTTCAAACAAACACACCCAAAGTAGAAAGGCAGGGAAGATGATGAAAAAAATGATTAATGGGTCCGGGTCTACCGGGACCCAACCCATTTATTTGGGATCAGGTCCAATTATACGGGTATCGGGTCCGGGTTCGAATCGGGTATTGTGTACCCTTGTCCGGTTCGGTTCGGGTCGGGTCTCGGGTCCGATCGTGGACTCCACCTGGACCCGAATTCGACTCGGATCCGATTAATATATTACTATATATTACTTGTATATATATACAAAATTAATTTTTAATAATATAAATTATATTAAAAATTCGTCTTTAGTTTTATTTATTTTATTTATTATTTTATTATAATATGTTTGAATAAAATATAGTATAAATTTTAATATATGTCGACTCTGGGTTCGAGTTCAATTTTAAATTAAATTTTGAAAATTAAAAAAAATAAATTAAAGTCTATCGGGTCCATAGGGTCTTGTCGGGTATTATTCGGGTCGGGTCCGGGTATAATCGAGTCCAGTTCGGGTCTTGGGTCCAACCATGTGTATTCGAGTCGGGACTCGGGTCCGGTTGGACCCGACCCATTATCATAAAATTGAAGGATAAATTTGTAATTTTCTTCTTTTTACTACGTGAATTTTCAGTAATATTGTTCGATACAATCACGGTTAAGTATTAACGAGATGGTATATTTTACAATATTTTAAAAATCACGAATAATTTTATGAAATTTTAGTACTAGGGGTTTTAACAAATTCGAAAAACCATATTAATTTTATGCTATTTAGTCTTATTTTATATATATAATAAAATATTAATTAATACTAATATATTATAATCGAGTCGTCACGTTGAGTTCGTACCCGTATAGATAATTGGGTCAAAGTTCTGGACCTAAACACAATTTTCTTGTCGTCATATTGAGTTCGTACCCGTATAGATAATTGGGTCAAAGTTCTTGACCTAAACATAATTTTCTTGGGTCGGTTTATGTCGGATTAGTTTTTGTTGACTCTAAAATAAACTGTGTTAGTTGAAATATAGCTAACAATTCTATATATTAATATACTGGATATGCTTAATGAACAATTATTGTTTGTTGCAATAAACTTTCTCCTCCGTCCCATTAGTTTGGCTTATACATTTTAATTATATTTTATCATTCATAATTTATAATTTTTTTAATTAAATTATTTAGTTATTTTAATCTTAATCTATAATTATTTTTATTAAATCATAATTATTTTTACTAATATACTTCTTAATTACTTATTAATTATATAATATCTAAAAAAAATCCGTGTCTAAACAAAATTAGATAATTTAAGTAGGACGGAAGTACTGTTATACTATCGGCCTTAGTGCTAAAATTTTAAATTGAGAACAACCCATGTTGTCCAATTGAATGTAAATCTATCCTTGTCAGTGAATAGCCTCATATTCAATTATAAGGATAGTTGTTAAACAAATCGAGTAGTTCATGAGCTTGTTAAACGAACCGAATAGTTCGTGAATCAAGTTCAACTCGGCTCATTAACAATTCAATTCAACTCATTTTTACAGATAAACGCGTGAGCTTGTTAAACGAACCGAGTAGTTCGTGAATCAAGTTGGACTCGACTCATTAACAACTCAATTCAACTCGTTTATAGAAATAAACGAATCAAACTCGAAAATTATTATTTCCTAAATGAGTCGAGCTCAAATTACAAGTAGCTCAATTAAACTCTTTAGTGATGATGTATTAATATTATTTTATATATTAATATAATTACATGATTTTTTATATCAAGTTCTGCATATATTAATAAAATTTAAATATTTTACAATAATAAATTAAAAATATGATTAAATATATTTAATTTTTATATTAAAAGTTATACGAAATAGGTATAAACTTGAATTTATTTCAGTCTAAGGGGAGTCAAGATATACTTGTACCGTTAACAAATTCGAATCGAACATCAACAATAAATACTTGAGCTCAATCGACTCATTAACAACTCTAATTTTAAGCGCCGGGGCTTCCACAATTAATGTAGAACCCTATCAAAACAAAAAGAAAGGATCATATAACTAACTTATTATGCTGCTTCTTACATTGCATTACATAGACAAGATATATGAGAAATGCAATCGCTATCTATGTAACTAATGTAAGTACAATCAATTCAATATTTCCTTCAATTGTCTGTCATATATATGTCAAATATCCCTTCCTTGCTAGCTTGTAGAAATGAAATTATCACAGTTAGCGAGTGTCCGTCCTAACCATGTAGCCATATTTACTTAAAATTAACGACCTATAGTTACATACATACATACATATATATGTATATGTGTGTGTCTGTGGAGTTATGTTTATTGTAGAATATATATATATATATATGTTACAATAGAAAAGAGTCTCGATCTCACCTTGTTCACTGGTTTTGTGCCGGCATTCTGTCATGGCTACTGTGTTCTCTCCCACCCCGCGGTGACTCTGCAGCTGCTGCATTGATGTTGTTGGGGCCGCCATTGATGGAAGTTATCAGAGCTGAGAGGCCACTGGTAGATCCACCACTGGCAGCCATACCCAACCCGAGCAGGTCGAGGGTTGCGTGCTTAGGACCAAAAACAGACGGAGTTCCCAACATCAGCTCCTTCAAACCAGACCCGCTGTCGCAGGCCAGCCCAAGTCCAAGACCATCAGGCTCGAGTTTTTGCTGCTGGCTCAATTCCCGACTAACATTAGGTGATGCAGAAGGAGAAACTATCCCGAGGCTCAGTAGCAGTGACCCATTAGGCGCAGAAGCACCCACCTGAGCAGCCTTTTGTAGCAGAGCAGTTGCTGACATGGCAGGCTGCGGGGCGGGGGCGTACTGCCTCAGCTCTTGCCCTGCTGTTCCGAATATGGATGACCCTTGATTGACTGCGAGGCAGAGAGCCACAGGTTCTAGAGATAAAGAAGCTGCTGATAAATCTTGAGTTCGGGCAGGTTGGGTTATAGTTTGTAATAAGTCGGTAAAACCAGCTGTCTGAGACTGAGATTGTAGACTTCTGGCCGAGGTGGATGATGCAAACAGGCTGGCAAAAACATTACTGGTCGAGCTTCCATTGCTGCTTGAACAGCTGCTGCTGCTACAATTTGCTACCAAGTTTGTCACCGTCGGTGTCTCCTCCAACTCCAAAATTTGAGCAGTAGTGAGATTGTTGTTCTGGCTTCCAACCATCTCTGTAAATACACAGTATCAATATAACAACAAGCATCCAAGACTTTAATTATAAGCCCGTTTTGGAACTAAAGGATTTCCATCAAATTCTATTTATTTCCTGTAATGGATTTCAGAGCCATGAATTTCAAATCGATCCCCTTTCTATCATTGCAAATACTCATTCATTTCAAATATGTCTAAAATACTTCGAATCTTTCTTTCAAAATCCATATCCATCCAACCAAACAGAACCATAAGAATTTAAAAGGCAGCATAGAAAACTGAAAATTTAAATGATTTCCATTTAAGTAAAATATTTTAAGATTCCATGCTTTTGCAGCAGCTGTTTGCACTATGATCAACAAATTTTAACACTAATGCTTCTTTTGTTTTCGCCATTTATCATACAACCCCTGCTCCACCAACTGACATACACACACACACACACGGGGCAGAACCTAAGGTTTACTCATGACAAGGGTGGAAGGGGCAAATGCGCCTTGGATTAATTGTGGCAATGGATTAAACTAGTGTTCATTATTAATTACCTTAGGGTGTGTTCGTTTAAAGGATTTTTCAATATTTCTACTATTCACTAAATTTTTTCCACACAAAAACATCAAATCAAATAACTATTTTTTATTTTGTTTATTATAATAAAAATTAATTTTACATTCAAAACATCACATCAACACCTATTTATATCACATCATACAACTATTTTAATTCAAAATTTTTACTATTTAAATCCCAACTCAAAATCCAAACCCCCAAACAAACACACCCTTAGTTTCCTTATTTATTTCTTACTTCCTTATTTAGTTTTTCCTAATTGATTGTTAGCATAGTCGGGTCTAGAACCGTAGTATAGTATTGTAAGCGTAATTCCCCCTAAACAATAAAATATATTGACATGGGGAGGAACATATTTACTAGTTATATCATTTTTAAGGATTATTGCATTATTAGTTATTCTGGATTCTGATTCTCTTCAGTCTCACAGCTTCAGATTGGTTCCGGAAGAGTAGTTCTTCATTGGCTAGTAATAAAATCTAGTTTCCTGATTTCCTAAGTCCTCTTGCTATCACACACACACACACATTCCCAAATAAAGAAGACAAAACAAACAGGACAAAACCAAAGATGCCAAAGTGCAAAGTTTAAGCCAATTACCAGGATTCTCATCCGGTAAAACAGGGGACGATATAGCATCGATTGAAGACTTCAACAGAACTGGAGGAGCTGGAGTTTCTTCCTCATTCTGTGGCGGAAGTGGTGGAGACAATGCTGCCTCGGCAGGTGCAGGTGCAGGTGGAATGGAAACAATCCCAGTTTTCGGATTCTCATCAGCACTAGGAAGACCCTTTGCCGGCTTTTCTTTAGCACTTTCCTCAGCCAATGCATCACAGAATGCCCTGTGTGTAATGAAACTATCCCTCCTGCATATCAATCAGATTCAGACTACAAATTAACCTCAGGATGCTTAGAAATCGAAGGCCATTAAATTCCAATCGATTGAACCTTGAAAATACAGTTCCACAATCACATTTGTACTCTTTTGTTCCACAAATCTTCGAGTGTGCCTTCCAGTCAGATTGCACTGCGTATTTCTTGGAGCATTTCTCACATTTCCATTTCTTCTCACCGTGCTTCCTACAGAAATGCTTCTTAATGCCTGTCAAATCACCCAACGCACGCGAAGGATTGTGGTGTTCGCAGCTTGGTTCGGGGCAAACATACACCTTCTTCCTGACCTCTTTGCTTGACCTCTGCCTAAGCTTCCACGGCAAATTATGACCTCTTCTATGAAGTTGTAGATTCTGGTCCCTCTGAAAACCTTTGTTGCAGATTTCACAAACAAATCTGTTTGTCGCCAATAGCGTATGAGGGGATAAAGCAATCACCTCAGCGTCAGGATCTGAGCCAATTAAAACCCAAAACCAAAACCAAAACCCTAAATTAAATTGCATCACTTCAACAAGTTGTTTTAATAGTATCAACATAGGACAACTCGAATCTGCTAAAAGATAGTCTTACCAGGCATTCCAGGCAGATTCCGCTTCTTCTTGGCCACTGGTTTTAGCGGCGCTGCTGCTTGCTTGCCCGAGGAGGAGTCGCCCGAAGCTGTAGAATCATTCATGGTGGAAACAACACAAAATTCTATTGCCAAAATTGGCAAAAAAATAAATTCGAGGGAAAGACTTAGGTGGAGGAATTCAAGCTACGTAATAATTTCGAATAATTTTCTTCCGGCCTATGAAACTGAGTCCTTTCCTGATAGTACTAGTCAGCCCATATTTAGCATTCAACAACCACTCCTGACCTAGCCCCAAATTTAGAAAACCGCATAAAATTCAAACTACAAAATAGATTCATCTAAATCCAGATTACAACAACCAAGCAGAAACGCTTCTCGACCAACAAGACACGAAGAAAAGAACAACGAAGGATGTGAAATCAACTCGAATGGGTTTGGCCGTTTGGAGAGATTGTGGAGGTGTTGACCGATAACGACTCACAGACATGGGCGTCAGCCCTTAATCCTGATGCAGCGATAGGGCAGCGGTGGTGAATCGAATCGCCGACAGTGGTGGCGGAGAGGAGAGGAGGATGCGTGTGCGACAAGAGTAGAGTAGTGTAGTGCGTGGCGTGGGTGTGCGCGCGTAAGTCTTTTCAGTCCTCAGTGTATGCCCCTTTTTTGGTTCACCCCTCTCCTCTCTTCTTTCACTTCACCATAACCCAACCCTACTCTGTCTGTCCTTTCACACAGAATTAAATACTACTCCCTTAGGGATCGATATTTATCTCTATTTAATCGGATACAAATTTAAACAAATAAAAATAAAAATAAAATAATTTTTTTAATATATTTTTAGTAAAAAAAAGTAATATTACAGTCTTTTTAGTTTTATATTAAATTAAAAAATAATACTAATATTTTATTAATTAGTATAAATTTGTAAGGGTTTTTAATATTATTATCATTTGTTTTTATGTAAAAATTAATTTAATATATAATGTATATAATTTAAATAATAATTAAAAGGTATTATGTACTGGTATACAATTATCTTTTTAAAAATAAAAAGTAGATATTTGAAGTGTAACAGACAAAAATGATAAAAAAATAATATTTTGAATTATGATAGAGTATTTTTTATAACAAAAAGAAAAGATAAAATTACAGAAAAATGAGTACTTCCTCTATCCCAAAATATTTTTTTATTAGTTCCATCGATTTCATTTAAAAATATTTATTTTTATTTTAATAAAAATGAATTATACGTTAATCTAAAATATTTTTAATTTTTTATATAGAATTAATATATAAAAAAATCAAATATCAAAAATTTCTTACACATTTTACTGATAATAAAATAATATTATTTTTTAATTTATAAAACTATAGTCAATACTTTTATCGGGGGACAAAAAAACGTACTCCCTCCGTCCCCGTTTATGTTCGTTCCACGTACTATGTCATTTTTTTTTTTTTTAAATAATTACACATTTTAATCTTATTTTAAACTATTTTTTAAAATTTTAATTAAACTAATTAGTTATCTTAATCTTAATTTATAATTATTTATATTATAAGATAATTATTTTCACTGATATATTCTTAATTATCTACTAATTACACTCATTCTAAAATACTATATCTATAGTGTAGTATGGGGAACTGAAGAAGTATATTATTATTATTATTATGCAAAATCATCTTTATTGGCCCCACTATATCTACCTAATCAATTTCCATCTATTACATTTTTATATTAAAATATATGAATAACATTTTGTTTAATTAGATACTTCCATTATCTTTCGTTCCGTCGATCAACTATATGATCATATGAATTGGACATGTATTTTAGTTAATATAATATAATATTACTTAATATAGCGATCTAAAGTTAAGGTATTTAAAAAGAATATAAAACTTATATAAGTGAATTAATAAAATAAAAAAAATAATAAATTAAATATGTAAATAGTTATGATATTTTTTAAATAAATACTATAATATTGAAAAGTATAAATTAAGGAATATTTAAAAATTATTTTCTATAAATAAAAACTACATATTTTCTTAATAAATAAAAAAATAAATATAAATTTGATGGACCGATCAAATAATTTTGTTGCATTAAATATAATCATTTGTGTTGTAACACTTGGTGGTGGTTGGAATTAGAGCTGGTAACGAGTCGAGCCGAACTGAGCCAAATTTTAAGTGTTTATTAACGTTCGCGAACAAGGCTCGTGTTCGTTCGTTAAGCTTCTGAGCTCGTTCGTGGTGTTCGAGCTCGGCTCGTTAAGAATTTTTGTTGTTTGAGCTCGTGTTCGTGTTCGGCTCATTTAGGTTCGATTAAACTCGTTCGAGCTAATTTGTCTTATTTTTTAAAATTTATATATAAATGAAAAAGAAAATTTAAAATTATTTTATTTATATATTTAAAATTAATATTTTATTTATTTATAAATTATAATTTTATATGTATATATAATATTTATAATAAATATATTATTTAAATGAACGTTCGCGAACAAAGCTCGAGCTCGTTCGTCAACCAAACAAGTCTATTTATGTTGTTCGACTCGACTCGTTAACGTTCGCAAACGAACTTTAACCAAGCCGAGTTCACGAACAGCTCGGTTCGTTTAACAGCTCTAGTTAGAATACTAATTTAGTCAAATCAACACCCTATTAATTTGATTAAATTAGCACACTAACCCACAAATAGATAATACGTGTTTATATATAGCATAACATAATATTGTATTATGTATAAACATGTGTTATGTGGTTTATATATTGGTTATACTTTATAAATATATTATTATACTGAAATTAATAATATATTGTGTTATATTAAACTATACTTCCTCCATCCCATTTTAATTGTCTCAAATTCACTTTTTATATGTCTCACTTTCATTGACATGTTTATATTTTTGGTAAAATTTACTAAATATAAACATATTTAACAAATATAAATTAACTTAATTAACTTTATAATACATAACATCACACATCATAGGAGACTCACTTAAGATTTATTTATTTTTATTTATCTCCTCAATAGATAAATATTTTTATTTACATTTAAAACTCCTCCATTTTAATAAAATTAAATGATCTTATTTATAAATAATTAAATATATATTTTTATTCATTTATATTATTTAAAATTTTATTATCTATAAAAAAATATTCATATTACATATATTTTATTGAAATATAATATGTAAAATATTTAAGTATATATTTCAAATTATTTAAATTATATATATGAATTCTTATTTTAAAATTACAAACAATATTACTCATATAAAAATATAATAAATGAATATTATAATTCACTATTATCAACTAATTAAACCAACATATCTTAAATAACATGTCCCAAATTAAATGAGTCATTTCAAATGAGACGGAGGGAATATTATGTTCTGTCAAAATATGTGTTGTATATTATATTATAACGTGTTATCAAATATATGATGTTTGTTTTGATTTAATGTGCTAACTAGGCTAATTTGACTCAGTGAGCATGTAAAACTGACAACGTTCTAACCTTGCAATAAAATTTTACTTTTTATTCAACAATTACAGTATAGTAAGCAAGATTGTTTCCATATGGATCGTTTGATTTATTTCTATGACTCATTGGGATCAATTAAAGAAGAAGATTTTCTAATTTTAAATTCAATCCTAAACTAAAATGAAAAGTAATTGGAATCAAGAAAAGTAAAGAATTCTATAACTTTAAATAAGAATAATAGAACATGTCTAGTCCAATGATTAATTTTAGAAGTGAACCACGGGGTTGATTATTGATCGCATATTTTATTCTATTAAATATGTTGATAAATTGGTTAAAGAAATCAACATGTGCATAACTTCTAATTTTTTGTCGAATGCTTGGACTTTCTCTCCTCCAACTGTGTCCCGATCGCAATATTTCCTCTGACCCCAAGCCATCATTCACCGTGTCACTGAGACCAATCCAATCGACATCCAACACTACCCCTATCGAAATTACGCCATCTATGCCACCAAATCATTTTGGCCCGTTCCGTCGGACGATTTTCCTTATTGTATTCCTTCTTCACTTTCCTATCCAATCTACAAATTCTACTGGGAAGCCGACCTTAGGCCCCGAAAGCTTTTCCCTAGCTAAAATCTGGAGAAGGGCAAAAAATTCTATGCAGCTTACCATTACCAGCTCCAATATCTCGCCCGTCAACTAGGATGCCAACAAGGCTTCGTGGTCCCTGTTTCGACTCCTCACTTTATTTCCATCAACTCCATTGGTCTTGCCCAACCTTTTCAAATAAAACCTTACATCGATTAGCCTCCGTCTACAATAATTCCTACTCCTATACCCCTTTCGAGTTCTCTTCTGAAACTTCCAAGGGCATTCAAGAATGGTGGGAACTTTCCTGAGCGATTATCGAATGCGCAATCGCCGAATGCATGGGGGGTTCTCTTTCCTTCGTCCGTAGTCATCCTAGGGTCCCATCCTACCACTTTAGCCGACATGCCAAATTCTCCACCGAAACAAAAAGCTGCGAAGGGTCAAAGTGTTAGCTCGAGCACTCCGAAAAGACATAAGACAATCCCCAAATCTTTCTCGCCGATCACTGCCCCACGGCCACACAACAGTAACAAGAAGATTATTTGACGCTCATCCTAGTGGACCCGAACTTGGTTCTAATTGGGATACGCCACTTGCTCCTTACACCTTCAACTGGTACACTTCTTTCGTCATTGCCTTGTATATTGATTTTTCTTTTTGTACAAGTCTTATTGCATTCTTGTGATAAATGTTGCCGATTCTCATTCTAGACAGACTAATCCCAGGCTGAATTTGGATGTTGTGGCATCATCCGCTGGACAAAATTTTCAAATAAGTTCCCAAAAAAGCGACAAGACGATTGGTTGAACTGCCAATTGAACTAGTCCTTGCAACCGTTGAACAAACTATGTTTCCCGTTGATCCTATCGATCCCCAAGCTACCGCACCAACGCCTTTATTGTTTCCTCCATCAGTCACTAAAACAAAAGCTTCACCTGCTGTAGGCGATCCTGAGGTACCATATTTTAATTTTCTGCGTACTTATTTTCTTTGGCGCCCGACTTATATTCCCTACTCCAGGACCCCAACACTGTAGAATGGGGTGCCTCTCCCCTGACTCCTCCACCAAATCAGCGCCAATGATTGAAAAATTAATAGAGGCACCGGTCGCAAGGCAAGCCTTCGGGAATCAAGTAGTTATGATTTCGAGTTCGGACACTCTGTCTATTATGTCGCACCACTCCGACCGTGAGTCGGTGGTCCCAAGTGAAGAAGTGGTTATGAGTCTTTTCGTCATGAAAATCTTTCTTTTCCTTAGATTAAGACTAACTTTCTTGCGCCTTAACACTGGATTTTCTTTTGTGATCCCTACAGGAATCCAATCTACCGATCCCCGATACCACCCCAGCTTGAGTTGGTACCCCCTCCACCATTATTGCGCTGCCTACCAATTGCCATAGTATAAGAGGATCCAACTCACCGAAATGCCACACTGTTTTCTCTTTCTGCCCAAATCTCAATGATAGGCCATGTAAGAACTCATTTAATCTAAGTTATTCCTAAACAATTTTCTCACCTTGATGTCTGTTTTAGGGTCAAAGGGATATTGAAGCCATGTCCCCTTTCACTCTACCTACCCATATTCGGGAGCTCCTATCATCCTATGTTGCTAAGAGTCT